TATCCAAATTGCAGGTTGATGTGAGGGATTTTTGTGCAATTGGTTTTTTTTGTGTTATATGATTGTTTGTCAAGAGATTATCCAAATTGCAGGTTGTTGCGAGGGATTTTTGGACAACTGAATTACAGTGAATTGAGCTGGGTTTGATGGAAACTGTTCCACTGAAGCTGGGTTCGGTGGAACCCAGGTTGGGTTCCGGCGAACCTAGCTCTACTTTTTTTTTTTGTTATATGTTTGTTTATCAAGAGATTATCCAAATTGCAAGTTGTTGTGAGTGATTTTGGGATTTTTTTCTTCATATTTTTTAAGTATTGTTTAAATGATTTCAATCTTGAAAATGGAAAGAACATCGTTGATGGAAAGAACAGAAACAGTAATCGATGGAAAGAACAGAAACAGTAATCAATGGACAGAAGCAATTCTTAGTGGTGATGTGGGATCCACTTGAACGAATTTGGCGCGTTTTGGCCACGGTAGCATGACATGGCAAAAGTTTTTGTGCACATCATCACTCTTTTAAATTTTGCCCTCCACATCATCAAAAAAAATATAAAAAATGCCACATAAGCAGAGTTAACAGTCCAAATTAACAGAAGGACTAATAGAGTGCATTTCGTATAGTTGAAGGATCAAAAAAGTGCAAAAAATTGTTGAGGACCAAAAATGTGCAACTCACTAAAGTTGAGGGACCAAATTTAGCATTTAACCATTTTACATCATAGGTAGAGTAGTAACATTTTATTTAATAATTAAAAATATTATTAGGATATATTTTATTTATTTTTTAATTTTTTAATTTTTATTAAAAATATATGATAATTATAATAAATAATTACTTTATTTAAGATAAAATCCTCACTCTGCCCTCTGGCCTAATAGTTAAGATTTATTTTTTTTTAACACAGTTAAATGTATATCATTTCAACAAAGTCATACGGCATCTACAAAGACAGTCAGATGACATTGAAATTACAAACAGATTAAGCACAACTAGAGAAAAAATAGAAAGTAAATCAAGTTCAATATAAACAGATAAACAGATGACACTACAAGAAAAATAATTTTTAGTAACAAAAATTTGTGATAAATTTTAAAATTATCACTATAACTTATAATAATCATGACAGATTTAAAAAATTAGTCACAGATGCATACATATTTAATGATAAACAAAAAAATTTATTATAAAAAATATATCTCGTCACCAAAAAATATTCATAGAGAAAAAATAAGTTTTTATCGATAAAAATCATCACTATAATGCATTACAATTATGACAAAATTCTAATATTGATCACATATACCTTACACATTCAATAATGATCAAATAATTTATCACTAAAAAATATATTTCATCATTAGAAATTGTCAATTTTCTCTAATCAATGCATCCTACATCGATAAAAAACACATAAGAGAATAAGGTTTTCGACTATAAATATATCTCACATCGATAAAAAATATTTAAGAAAATAAATTTTTGTACTATAAAACATGTGAAACTTAATAAAACTTGAGATTAGTTTGGGCCTGATTAATTTTAATTGGACTTGATTAATTTTAATCGGGCTTGATTAATTTTAATCATGTTTGATTAATTTTAATCAAAATTGATTAGTATTGAAATAATAATATTTTTTATTAAACTTTTGTGATAAATTTATATATTATTTTTTGTGACAATTTTTATTAAAATATTTGTGTTGTAATTGTATAAATATCTTTCTTTATTTAATATCAATTTTAATAATTAATGACTAAATTTTGCATCATAATTGCATTTGTGACGAATATTTTTTTGTGATGAATAAAATTGTTATAAATAACTTGTTAACAATATCAATTTTTTCTATCACTATAAAATTATTTTTTGTGACAGGTGTCTAATTTGTCATTAAGAGCATTTGTGACAAGGGTTTTACTAACAGTTTAAATTTTATCACTAATAATAATTTGTGACGAAAAATAAAGATTTAATGATCAATAATTTAATCACTAAATATGAATTTTCTTGTAGTGTAAAGGAGGGCAGTGAACATTACACACGAACAACCGCTAAGGAAATAGATTGATAGCTTCCTTTGGTCCACTATTTCAGAGATCTGGACACCCTTCCATCTACTTTCACATAAATGACCCCCGTTCTCTTGAATGTCGAGGCTGGAACATTAGAGTAAGCAACGGCCAATCCCAAAATTCTTCATGATTGGCTTGTTGGCCCCCAAATCTGAGAAAACTCAAACAAAAAACAAGAAACAGAAAGAAAGTAGAGCAAACCAACAGGGCCACAAGAGAACCAACAAACCATCTAAAATGGTCACTGGACAGAGGAGCACGGTTGATCGGCTCCACCATGCTTGAGAAGCCCTCCGACTGCTCAAGCATCAAAAACTTGAGAAGCTCGGAGGCTTCCGAGCAATAATTAAGATTTATTAGTAATTAGGCAAGATTTTTATAGGATGTTTCTTTTTGAACTATTTATAATTGGAGGCCAAGGCCAAGGATTCGAACTTCAATTTTAAAGTTAAAGATGCACTTTGCAATTGTGTTTCAAGCTTTGGAACCACAAGACCTGGGTGCTTATAGGATTCCTTCCTTTTTTTTTTTTTTCTTGAACATTGAGAAATTTGAGGGTGAGAGAAAATTTTTTTTATGAGATTAAAATTCTTAACTTATTGGAGCCAAGCACTTAAGCTTGAACGGTAAATCAATTCACCTAGAAGGTTGGTTTTTTTAATTTTTAGGTTAAAACCCCATTTTGGTCCCTGAACTATTGTACGAACCCCTAATTTAGTCTCGAATTAAAAAAATCTATGATATGGTCCCTACTGTTTACCATTTTGACCTCGATTTGGTTCTTCCGTTAAATATCCACCGTTAACTTACAGTGAGTTAATGACATGGCAAAAATTCTAGACACATTAGATCAAAATGATGACATGGCAACATAACAACTTATATTCATGCCATGTAACCCACCAAAATGACAATTTTACCCTCATCTTCTTCCCCACAACATCCTTTTTCTCAAATCTTCTTCATTCATCCTTCTTTTCCCTCTCTTTGCCTCCTCCAAGACAACTTTTATCACCATTTTTCTGAGTCAAATAATTAATTCAATGAAATGGAATTTCATTCTTCATCAATTAATTCTTTTTCATCATCAAACAACAAAACCCACAAAAAAAAAGCAAAATTTTTTTTCAAACCTAGCACTAGGTTCGAATGAACCCCACGCTTGGGTTCGATGGGTTCTAA